ACTTAGCTATTTTTTTTATAATTCATGCTGTTCCTAATCGTAAATTAATTTAAAACATTAGTAGCCAAGGCTACATCGTGGTGACCCTGATGAATTTTCGAAATGTCAACAAATGACTCTTCTGAAACTGCTACGAAAGATACGATGCAATCACCAGAGCTTCATAAGGTGAGTGTAAAAATACCTTCTTTTTGGACTGATAAACCGGAAATATGGTTTTTTCAAGTTGAAGCTCAGTTCAAAATTAGTAATATCGTTTCAGAAGAAACGAAATTTAATTATTTAATTTCACAGCTTGAACCTAAGTTCGTCGAAAATATTTGGGACATTGTAACGAACGATAGTGCCACAAAATATTCGGATGCTAAAATTAGGTTATTAGATTTATTCAAAGAAAGTAAAAATGTACGGATTAAACGTTTGATTACTGGTATCGAACTTGGAGACATGAAACCAAGCCAACTTTTGCAGAAGTTGAGATCAGTTGCTACTACAGATGTGTCTGAAAATCTAATCAAAACTTTATGGCTGGAGAAGCTACCTGACTCAATAAAAAATATATTATTAGTTAGTGATGAAGATGTATCCAAGTTAGCGTCTATGGCAGATAAAATTAGTGATATGAATCGGAAACCAGAAGTATTTAGTGCTAATGCTCCTTCCGTTCCCGCAAATGATTTATTGCAAAAAATTACCTCTCTTGAACAAAAAATTTATCAAATAACTATTCGCTCAAGACGCAGGGACTCCGATTTACGTAATTCACGTTCACGATCTCGAAGCCGATCTCGTAAATAAATAAATAAATTAAAATTAAATCGATAAAATTTGCCTGTAGGGTCATATCGTTCACGATCTCGAAGCCGATCTCGTAAACGATATGACCCTACAGGCAAATTTTGTTTCTATCACTTTCGATTTGGAGCAAAATGTATTCCAGAGAAATGCCAGCCTCCGTGTGCTTGGGTAAAAAACGAACCCAAAACCAGGAAAACTCGAATCTGCAGTAGGTTCAGCGGCAAACGCTACTGCAGAAAATATGAAGAATTGTCGCAAATTTCGTTTATTCGTTCGTGACCGAAGATCAAATTTGCACTTTCTTATTGATAGCGGAGCTGACGTAAGCATAATTCCTGCTACTTCACAGAATAAATGTAAAACTGAATACAAACTGTATGCAGCTAATGGCACAGATATTTCCACTTATGGCATAAAAACGCTAACTCTTGATTTGGGATTACGTCGTGATTTTCAGTTTCCATTCATAATTGCTGATGTCGCAAAAGGTATTTTAGGAGCTGACTTTCTTCACAAATATTAATTGCTTATCGATATAAATAAGAAAAAATTAATTGATGGCGTAACACAGCTTTGTGTCCAGTGTGATGTCGCTGCTATTTCCAGTGATTACTCAGTAACCACATTAATAAATCCATAAAAATTTTCGATTTGCTGTCGAAATATCCCGAAATTTCTAAACCTAACCTTTTTCCTGCACAAATTAAACATGGTGTTACACATTTTATTACGACTGATGGTCAACCCGTTTATTCAAAGGCACGACAGCTCGATCCAAAACGCTTAGCTATAGCTAAAGAGGAATTTAAATTTATGCTTGACAATGGAATAATTTGTCCATCAAACTCCCAGTGGTCAAGCCCCTTGAACCTTGTTACGAAAAAGAATGGTTCATATCGTCCTTGCGGGGACTACCGACGATTGAATGCGCAGACGATACCAGATCGATACCCAATTCCTCGCATTGAAGATTTTCATCATATTTTAAGAGGTACAAATATTTTTTCTAAAATTGATTTATTCAAAGCATATTTTCAAATTCCCATTGCAGAAGAAGACAAATGTAAAACAGCTATCATCACTGCTTTCGGTTTATACGAATTTAAAGTAATGAGTTTCGGTTTAAAAATTGCTTCTGCAATGTTCCAACGATTTATTCACGAAGTCTTTAGAGGATAATAATTCGTTTTTCCCTATTTAGACGATATACTCATTGCATCCAGTACCCCAAAAGAACACAAAAATCACCTTAAATTAGTTTTCGAAAGGTTACATACATTTGGGTTAAGAATTAATGTTTCAAAATCTGTATTTGCTGTTCCATAAATCGAGTTTCTAGGCTACCTAATTACACCTAAGGGTTCCCGTCCTTTGACAGAAAGAGTTCAAGCTATCACTAACTACAAACGACCAGAAACAATTCATGAACTTAGAACTTTCCTTGGAATACTTAACTTTTATCGTCGTTATATAAAGGATACAGCGAAGAATCAAGCATTGTTACATGCGTACTCTAACGGAGCTAAAAAGAGGGACAAACGTAAAATCGAATGGACTGAAGAAGCTGAAAACCAGTGTGAAAAGTGCAAGAATGACCTGGTGAACACGGCACTGTTGTCTTTTCCCAATTCTGAACTACCTCTGGCGTTATTTACAGATGCTTCAGATACGGCGATTGGCTCAGTGTTGCAACAATATGAAAACTCCTCGTGGAAGCCAATAGCATTTTTTTCTAAAAAATTAAATGATACTCAGCAAAAATATAGCACCTATGATAGAGAACTATTAAGCATATATCTTTCAGTTAGACACTTTAAGCATTATCTAGAAGGAAGAGTATTTACAATTTATACAGATCACAAGTCCTTAATATTCGCCTTTTGTCAAAAACTTGACAAAGCAGCACCTAGACAGGCTCGCCAACTTCAATACATCTCCCAGTTTTCGACTGATATCAAATATGTAAAAGGTGAGAATAATATTGTGGCGGATACATTATCTAGAGTTAATGAAATTTCATTGATAGATTATGATAAAATAGCTGATGAACAAACTCAAGATGAAGAACTGAAGAGTTTGCAAACCACTACTCTTCCTTGAATTTCAAAGCAATGTTCTCTACCTTCGGGGGAAATATTTGTGGTGTGATACATCAACTAAACATATTCGACCGTATATTCCTCAGGCTTTCAGAAAATACGTCTTTCAGCGAATTCATGGTTTATCACATCCAGGAATAAAATCGACTATGAAATTAATGACATCCAAATTCATTTGGCCTAACATAAAAAAAAGATGTACAGTTGTGGACAAGAACCTGCATTCCTTGCCAAAAAGCTAAAATCAGTCGGCATACCAAAACAAAATTAGGTGAGTTTGAAGTACCACCAGGAAGATTTTCTTTTATCCATATTGATCTCATTGGACCACTTGCCCCATCTAAAGGGAATATTTATTGTCTTACTTACATAGATAGATTTTCGAATTGGATGGAAGCAATTCCTTTAGAAAATATTTCAGCTGAGAATGTCGCAAGAGCCTTTTATAGCAACTGGATTGCACGTTTCGGAACGCCAAGTAAACTCATTAGTGATCGTGGATCGTGGATCAATTTAAAAGTGATACATTACGAGCTTTGTCCAAAATCTGTGGCATCAATTTACAACACACTACTGCCTACCACCCCTCGTGTAATGGCAAAGTTGAGCGCCTTCATCGAACATTAAAAACAGCATTAAAAGCCCACAACAACATATCTTGGACGACACATTACCAACAGTACTTTTGGGCTTGCGTACTGCTATTCAAGAAGATACAAATCATTCTATTGCGCAAGTAGTTTATGGCCAGAGTCTCAGACTTCCTGGAGAGTTTTTCAGCGAACCAAGTATCCAGACATCATCGGAGACGTTTGCTAATAAACTCCAGAAACAGATGGAAGTTGTTGGACCTAGATTAATTCGTAAAAATTTATCTGAACGGATATTTGCACATAAAGACTTAAAAACTTGTTCTCACGTGTTTCAGCGAATAGATCGGGTAAAAAAAACGTCTGGAACTTCCATATGAAGGACCATTTTCTGTTATTGATCGCAAGGACAAATATTTTACTATTAGCATAAAAGGGAAAACATGTTAATGTATCCCTGGATCGTTTGAAACCAGCTGAGGAAAATTCCCAGTTGATACAACCTGACTACAGTAACTTGCAGAGACCAGACTCAAATTCGGATGTTAATCAAAAACATTCTCGCACAGGCAGAACTATACGTTTACTTGTTAGATTTAAGGACTGACTCTAAATTATTCTTATTAATTAGTGGTTAACACTGTAATACTAGTTACTACCTATTTCTCTATCTTCGTAACGTAACTTAGTTACTGGTGGGGGAGTAGTGTAGTGGTCTAGTTATTGCACGAGAAATAATTATTTTTTATTTCATATATTTATTTGTTCATGTGTTTAATTATTTTATAAAATTAACTTTAATATTTTGTTAATATTCATATTTATATTTCTTTTATGCTGAATGGCAACAAGTAGTTCATATTTATATTTAAATTTCTTTATGCTGAATGGCAACTAGTTCTGATTCATGATTGCTAGGTTTTGGTTTGAAAACGTTGCTCGTAGCGCTGCATTTCGATAGCTGGAAAATAAAATGCAATAAACTTAGCTATTTTTTTTATAATTCATGATGTTCCTAATCGTAAATTAATTTTAAACATTAGTGGCCAAGGCTACAGATCCATTTACAGTAAAAGTTTTATTACATATTTATTTAAAAAAACTGTAAAAATTCTCTTTTATTATCCTTCATTAAGAACATATTCTTAGTATAATTTAGAAAAGCGAGAAAAATCAATTAAAAATTGCTTAGTATTTCCACAAATGGAATCTCATCGGAAATTTCACTTATATTTCCACAAGGTCACCTTACATGCTTCCAATATACATTTGAAAACCACACAGAAGTCCAGCATATTCTTTCCTCTGAGCTGTCCAATAACAGGTATTTCATTCCAGGCACGCCTTATACCTACCTCTTCTTTCATCAGATATCTTTGGTGGGCAGGACCTTCAACTTTTTTATTCATTTTATTATTCTAAATTTTCTTCACTCACGAGGGTCTCTAGAACGTCACATCGTCTTCACAAGGTCAAAGATAAAGGTGACTGATTCTCCCTCCGCCTGCGTAAGCCGGGATTATTAATGTGCATCGTTTGGAGATCTCTCCCTCCCCCTCCCTTGATTCGTGTTTCGGATGCAGGTAAATATCGTATTCAAGGGGTGGCCGCTTGAGGTAATTATTATACAACGTTTGTCTCTTTGTGGCAACATCAGAAACTCGCTTGCAATGACCTAAATCCAGTGCTATAAAGACAATCATCTGGTTTGTGCGGAGAGAAATTTTTACTTAAGTATCTTCTCAAAGATGAATAAAACTTTGGTAAGTACTGCATTTTTAGTTGGAAGTAAATAACAAGTACTTACTTACCAGGATTATCAGTGGTAAAACTTTATTTTTCTATCGCAAACATTTTCTTTACATTAATGTAATATTTCACGCCTTTTTATGACATTGTTAATTCGCGCTTTTCCCACTGCATATTTTTGTTATTATTATTGTAATTTTTTCCAGTAGTGACTAAAAGCAAATCAAACGTGTCTGTAAAATCAATGGCTTCAATACCGTGTTTTGAGAAACCATGTGGCTAGGGTTTCGATTTAAAAGAAGAAAATTAGAAGGAACTTTTGAATACCACGCGTGCTAAGTTAAAACATCTAAAATAATTAATTAAATCATATTTTTTTATTTATATTGTTACTTTAATAATGATAGAAATGTTATAGGATAAAAATAAAAAATTCATTTCAATTTTCTGTCTTAAGTAAGCGCGTGCAACATTAATGCATTATCAATGCTTTATAAGTTTTACTGTTTTAAGGAAGCGCATGTTTCAAAAAAAGGTTTGATGGGTTCCGCAAACTGCTAAAAAATTTAAGCACAATTGGCTTATGCTAACAACATTGCTTGAGTAATATATTAATGGTAGAAGAAATCTACATGCACGCGTACACTTATAGTCGTATATATCGTTGTATATATGAGATATAATATCATAATATAAGTTCATATGTTTCTAAAATCCTTAGATAACAGTTCATAAATCAGCTATATCATAAATGTTATTTTTTATGGAGGAAAGCAAAGATTACACATTTAGCATTACGTTTATTTACGATGCATACTTTATGTTGCCGAAAAAGTATGTTAAGTTGAACTTTACTTTTATATTTCCATTCTTTAGTTTAATAATAGTCACTTTTGATGTAATTCTCAAGGGCATCGAATGAAAATGAGCAGGATTTGACCATTTAACTGGGGGGGGAGAGAGAGGTAACTTTTCAAAAACTCAGACTTCAAAGCTAGTTTCACGTGCATTTTTATTACATCCTCTAAACAATCTTCATTTACCAGTAAAGGAGACGGAACTACATAATTATAATAATGAAAGGAAGCATGCCCTATCAAGTTTTAATTTCGGCAATATAAAATTTATGTCTGTTATACAGAAATGCAATTTGGAGCAAAGACATACAATGGCCTTTGAGGAATTTACTCCATTTTCATTGAAGAAGAAGGATACTACATTTACCTCTCTCAAAATGCACCCACTTTCTCTGTGAAATAATCATCAGTCTTAGGTTAAATTTTCCCAAAATTTAAACATTATCCTTAATGTTTTGCTTAATTGTTTAAACAGGTATGAAATTATGAATAACAAACGTATATTAGTTCAATATGTAATAGATTTCCTGCAAAAATTTTTGCTGTGAAATAAGAGTTGCCACAAAAACTGAGCTTTCTGATGTTTAATAAGGATTATTTTATCAATGATATTTATTAGTTAATTTGATATTAATTAATTATCCTTTAAAATTAATTCTGGCTCATATTAATTTTCAAATGTACTCAGTTTCTAACTACATCGTACAAATACGTAAATGTATTTTATTATTAATTTTTATCATTAACATTTTACATGCATTGAGATTTTACTAAGCCGTATAGGGAAAAAAGATTTTTATCTCTGATTGATAATTTTTTAGATGTATCTCTTTTGTACTACACCTTATAAATAAATACAATTTTTTGTTAATTTTTTATTAGTAACTTTTATATGTATTCTATTTTTATTACGTCATACAACACATAAATTGTATTGTAATTTCTAGTTAGTAATATTTCAGATACATTCAGTTTTACTAAGAAAAGAAATAAACACTTTATCTTTAATTTCTTATTAGCAATATTTTAAATGCGTTCAGTTTTTACGATGTCGTATAAATAAATGTGTTTTATTAATAATTAGCAATTAATTAAAAATTATCTAAAACACAATACATTAATATTATTAAGATAACACCAAATATCAATTAATTATTTTTAAGGCATTATTTAATGAATCAATAATTAATTAGTGTATGATTTCATTATCTTAACGAACAATAATTACTATTTGCATTATTCAGTGTATGGTCAATAAATTATTTTTGTCCAATTACTAAAAATTATGTATTAATTTCCAAATTTATTTTCCAAATCTGCTGAAAATTAACATAGCAAAAAATATTATTAATGTGGAGTTTGCTCTCATTATCTCAGCTTGGTAGAATCCCTTTATTTTTTTCTTAAAATACTCCTGTTTAATGAATTAGCAACTATTTATTTTCTTAATAAGCTATATAAAATAAGGTTTTTCATAAAATAAATTTAAAATTTTCAATCAACGTATTTTGATGTAATGGGATTCGTAATCTACAGAAAATGTATAAATCTGAATAAAAAATAATACGAATTAATAGTAACTACAAAAAATTAAAAATATCTTAGAAAATTTCCCTGTATAAGAATAGTATTAAAATTAACTACTTTAAAATACAGAATGCAATAGTAAGATGTTTATTTTATATATATGTATATATTTATTCGCATAACTTTCATGAAAACAATATACCAAAAATACCATCGAAGTCGATATATTTTTAATCGTTTTTAATTCGTATAAATTCAGTAAAAATACCGTATGAAAAACATCATATAGTCTTCAAAATGGATTTTAGAAGTCATCATTCTAAAGTAATTGCTTTAATTAATAGCAGAATTTTCTGATTTCCTGCTTTTGTAATAAGTATGTTTACGAAATGATAATACGTTTAAGAAATTTATCCTTTCAAAAATGCAGCGACGTCAAGCATTACTAAAGGAAAAGGAATATTTTGCCTCCCCCCCTATTAGTTTCTTACTTTTCCATCTAAGGTTGATAAGACATCAGACGTCTTGGAAACACGACAATTTTCCCGCTCATGAGTGACATGGAAGACCTTGAATCACCTTTACTTTACATTTTTTTCACTTTCCTACTTATTATTAATATTATTATTTCTTACACTTAACCTTTAGAGATTGTATCACACTGCTTCGCAGTGAGATAAACAAAATTTCAAAGGTTAAATCTTTGAATCAGCCATTTTAAAGCTGCTTATTGATAAACATAACCTATAGAATTGGCCTTTGATTGCAAAATGATAAATTCAGTATAATATGTAAAAATTTTTTATTTGTTTTCAGGCTTGCCTTTTCCTGGTCATGCTTTGCACTGCCATGGCCATGGCAACATATCGCAAATCATATCACGGAGGTCACAAAATTCACTTAGGGGGAGCTGGTTATGCATATCGTCCAAGCTACGCTCACAGCAAGCCTGTTTTGCATCATGCACCCGTGCCAGTGGTTTACGCCAGAAAATCTCACAGCAAACCACACGTGACACACTACGTCAAACCTTCGTATCATCACTCAGTAAGTAGATTTTCAGAAATACAGTAATATACTGATCTGGTAACCTCCGTAAGTGAGAATTTCGAAACAAACTATAGGGTGGGTGCATAAAAGTGTATTAGTTAATACCAGGGCAAAATAGTTATCAACACGTATTTGTACTAGAGTAATGTTGTAGTGGAGAAAAGGTAATACAGAAAAAAAAATGATATGACTGTATTAATTGAAATGAAGGCATAAAGTAGGTGTTGTAAAAAGGAAATATCTTAGCTGGTAACAATGTGACAGTTATAGGTCGAAACCAGACCGGCATCTGCGCATTTTCGAAGATGCATTATAAGTAACGCTAAGCCTTGCTGACTATTAAGCTCTGCCTCAGTTTTGAGGGAGACCACCCAGAGAGCCTGTTCAAGGATATCCCACCCCTCTTTCCCTACTAGCAACCATTCCAGAGGACTTTCAGCTCGCTATGTATTAATCTGTTTAAACCATAAGTTTCTGCAAATTCAAGTTACGCATAAATCCTTTACATTCAACAATAGTAATTTATGCTACTAAAGAATTATAGTTAAGTTGGAAGCTCAAGTAAACTTATTCCTAAGCTATTAGCACCAGTAAACATGTAATCTCATGAAAAGGTACATGATGTCAACGGTTTAGCTACTGCGCAAACTATACCACTTCATAATGGTGTCCTGGTTCATAATGGCCGCACTGATCAGTGCAAGGTTATCGATGCTGTATGCTGTTTCTTTGGGCCGGGTTGGAATCCCAAGGAATGCTTGAAAGTGAGCGATATGAGAGCATTTAAAATTCCGGTAAGCTGAAAATCCTCTCAAGGGTTTATTGGTAAGAGAAAAGAAGGGTTTGTTGGTAAAAGCTGAGGAACTTCAGACTCATTCGCCGAGGGTTTTCTCTATCAGAATCGGTATAGAACTGTACAAGTTATGCGATGGGACTGACTATACCTATAAACAACTGGTGAAGTTCTAATGTCCCACCCACTTCTTCATAAAGATGGCATCTTCGCTATACAAATCAGTTATTATTCTAAAAGACAGAAACTTTCAAACGAGTTTCTTCATATAAGGTGTCCACATCCTTAAGAAGATTAGTTTCTTATTTGTAAAAATCAGCTTGTATTAAGGAACAGGTTGATTTATGCTAAAGCTGTGCTGTACAGGAAGAATATGAAAAGTTTACTTGCACAGTGTTTTTTTTTTTTTTTTCCACATAAAAAGTATCCGCAGCTTTCTTAAAGTTGGTTTTTTCAAATCAGAAACCGATCTGCAAAGAGTGCGAATACATACCAGGACACTATCCAGAACTGGCTGAACTGCGTTAAGGACACCGGCACCCTTATCACAGCACTTTGACTAATCTTTCGCATCGGCCAGACACACCACTGCTTGCCTGCAGACAATTAATTTTGAAATTTTGTGTCGCAAGTAGCAGAAACACTTAGCGAACATTACCTTCAGTTGCAGTCATGTGCTGTGGAATTCGTAAATTTTAATTAATTGGCATTTAGTTGTTTTCGAATGTTATTTCTGTGGTAGACAGCATATTAACCTGTAAGGTCAATGTGAGTTATTACACACTGGCCATCCAGTATCGGTTCACAAATCAGTTACAAAGAGCAATTTTAAAAGGATTCGATATACTAATCATTTAATTATCTATCGGCTCAATGGTTACAGTACTTGGTTTATTGCCGATATAGTCCTTCCTGTCTGATTACAAAACAAAGCAGGGTATAAGTATATAAAATAAAGAATAATTTGTTACGAAATATTATCATAAGAACATCCTAGGATGCTGAAAATCAGTAAGGGTGATCCTTGTTAAGAAATACGCACTATGAAGGTTAGGATAGTAGTACTTATATTCCTAATGAAATTAACTTTGGTAAAAAAGTTGGTAACTTTATAAATTTTGTAATCTTCTTAGCAGCCATGAACAGGAACCAAACCTCAGATACAGTGGCAGCAAATTATCGCTAAGTCTAAAATAACAACTGAGCCTTAAGGGTGTAAAAGACCATTTATTTGAATCTTAGAAACAGAAGGCACACTTCGTACTTACAAACTCAGACAGCACTTCATGCCGAGATAACGTAGTATATAATAGTAAGTTCAAATGTAAAATTTAAATTCAAGTAGATAATAGACGAAGGCTATACATATCAGTTTAACGCGAAATTACTTAACCGGCGTAGATATTCAAATATTGGCAAGTATAATGCAAGGCCGAAAACTAAAATCTTAGCTGAGCTAGCAACCTAATAACGTAGCCTAAAGAAGCAGAATACGCTCATTCTTACAATCTAAAAACCTCATTACAAATACATGCGAGTTAATTTGCATTCTGGAAACGGAAGGAAAACGAAAGAAACGGAAGGAAGAAGTGACAGTAAAGACGTAAATCCTAAAATAACTGGTTAACTGGATGTAAAGAAACTTTACATCTTAAATAAGCTTTATGCGGTGAAAATAAAGTCTGGCGTCATAAACGATATTCTTTGAAGACAAATTATAGGAAATTAAACAAGCACTCTTTTGCAATCTTTAGCGAACTTCCATCCTCTGGCATCAAAAGGTTATCAGTTATATCTGATATATATCTGTTCCTCAAATAAATAAAAATTCTGAAGCCAATCAAAAGACTATATGTTCATATTTGTGTTCAAATCTGGAAGTTACATACCTTTATTGAAAGTGGATATTAAAAAAACTATTTTGAATTTCGAGTTAAATATTTAAAAGCCAGAATAATTTAGAAGTGGGGAAATCTCAGCAAATTCAATCACAGACGTTGAGTATTAAATTTTGAGATAAAATTTTAAGTGACCATCTTCGTTGATCTACGATTTCAAAATTCAAATACACGTGAAAGAACTTAACTTTAGAAAAGGTACTTCCCAGCCTTTTTCGCATAACCACGTCAACAACTACTGCGGAAAAAAAAGTAAAATCCACTAATTTCCCATATACGCTTGTGATGACACAAGTTACGATCGAAATGAGGGAGGGTCACGCTTTTGCGTTCTAAGAGTCTTAGGAGAAGCCCTGAACGCTGCATATAGCAGAAGATGACTACTGGTTCGAAAGTGTGTGTGTTCTTTTCTCCGTAAACTTTGATTGTAGTTCTTTATCCTTATTTCAACCCTCTTCGCGGGTTTAATATCGAACACCCTCTGTGGTGCATCTTGGACAATATTTTCGGTGACGAGACGACTAAATGTTCAATGCGTAACGGATAAAGAAAGTCTCACTTTCTAATTAAAATTATGACTGTTAAACTATAAGCAGTGGTGGCTTTAGAATGGCCGCTTTATCTAGAGCACTAAATGTTTTTTTTTTTTTTTTTTTTTTTTTTTTTTTTTTTTAATCCTGTGCAAAAATTATAGATCAATCTTAGTTCCTTAGCATGTACGTGACTTTTATTTTCAATATTTCTCTCAAGGTCATAAAGCCCACCAGCGGCGGTGCAGTAAAGTCGCTGAACACTGATAGTTTCGACCTGGGTTCAATTCTAGGTGGCTGGCTGCATGGTCGTTTTCGTAGTTTTCCCCATGTGTAACGTGTATACGAGCCAGTTTCTCTTAGGAAGTCTTCCACGAAGGCATTTCTAGTCTTAGGCAGATAGCCCAATATGCGCTTTGCCATAATTAAATAAACGAAATAAAACCATTAAGGTCATAAATGAGGAAAATTCTGAATATGCTCATGTTCATTAATAAAAAGAAAAAAAAATTAAATATGATGGACCACCTTCAGACGGCTTTATTTTCGAATTTTACAAACACAACGTGAGAATCTTTCTTACATGAAATACGTGAAATGAAAGGAAAATTGTCCAGATTTCACTTACAAATATACTAAATTTCGTTATATGAATAACGGCGAAGATTATTCAACTTCTTGACATACTTCTTTCAGTTCTGCCTTTGCTGCTGTCTCGACAACAATAACAATGAGGATTATTTAAGCTTGAGGGCTCATGTGGCACAAACACAGTACCAATGGTATCTTTAACGCACTTCCAAATGAGAAAAAAATAGCATATGACTTATGATTCAGCGACTTCTGAGGCCAGATAAGGAGCATCAAATCGTGAGGTCCACTAAAAATGATGTAATGCAGTGAAGAGAACACTCTAGAATACACGCTAAAAAAGGTTATGACATTCCCCAACCCCACCATGAAAGTGATCTGCTAAAATTAGATTTGTGCATCAGATTACTGTGTTTTAAAGTATACTCTTCAGATATCGAATATGTATAAGAACTATATATTTTACAAAATTATTATCTATATATTATACAAAGTCTATATCTTCCACTAAATGAAATTTTAGCAAATGAAAAGTTTGTTAAATGATTCTCAGTTCCGCGATTTCCAATAAAATTCTTGATTGTACAGTTTGCGATATTTTGATTGGTTAGTAATTTGGCCTATGATTATAATAATTAATAATGTGACAGTAATTATATAAATAATTTATTATATCGAAATGTACATGATATATAGTAATCAACTATTCTAGAACCAGATAAGTCATTGAAAACGTCTTTCCTATGCCTAGTAAGAAATAAAAAATACGCCAGAAAAAGGCAATTAAAATTAACAAAGAAATTGGCGACTTAAAAAGCAAATTTATATAAAAATAAGGAAGTATGTAAAGACTGATGACTGCAAATTTCCAAAAATCAAATCACTAGACGTATAATGATAGGAGTCCTTCGGAGAATACACTACGAATATCCTAGGATGTTAAATCTCGAAGATCTTCAAGATCTTCCTAGAAAAAAACATCTTCAGGACATATTTATAAATACCAAGACATAGCGACATAAGGAAGAAATTTTTTGGGATGTTCAAATTATGATATTCTCGATTCTCGGTATAGCCTTAGTATGTTCTGATATATTGTCACTTTCTGAGGACATTCTGTGTTATAGAGGATCATTCTGAACAATCTTGTATTTTAAATTTTGGAACTGTTGCTTCACACATGCTTGGGGTAGCCGTTGAAATTTATGTTTCAAACACGAAAATATCTTCTGATAAAAAGTACTTTCACATAAAGGTAATTCTTCAAAAGTATCATAAAGGATATTTAAATAGCGTGACAAATGCAGCTTTCTCTTCACAGTTGGATGAATCAGGGAAATTATGCAAGTTTCAACATTAAACAGAAATTATCCAGAACTTGTAAACAGTTCTAGACAAGGTATACGTGGGATGAGATCCTGGATTCAGTTCCTAACTGACTCTAGGTACTTACTATATTACTTCGCATTCTCTTATAAAATATATCCTACGCTATTTATCTAACAAATTTGCATTTGATGAAATAATTTTAATGGACGCTTTTGCTTCTTAATTACATCTATTTTTTCCCCTGTTTTTCTTTATTCCAGTTCGTACAATGCACGATTATTTCACAACAGGTATTGCGGTACATGTGTAGTTGGACACAGTCTTTCGATACGTGTGATGACAGCAGAGCAGTTGCATTCTAATTTTGATAAAAATCAACAACACAGGAATGGTTAGTTGGATACTGTGATAAGTTCAACAAAGGCTCTCTATCTAAGGGAACGATGCCTTCGTGGAGAATTCTCTAAGGGAAAGTGGCTGATATTAATGTTACACATGGGGAAAATCACGAAAATCAACCATAATCCAACCAACTCGATTTGAGCCCAGGATAAACTACCAGCATTTCGCGGTCTTAACCACTAGTTCGCTGGTGGACTCCTACAGGAATAAATCTTACATCTGTTCGCCATCCATTAATGTTTTGAAAGAGCTTTTTTACCGACAGATTTCACGCACCACTTCTCAGCCCGAAAACAAGAGTAATTTTGAATTAAACTGGATTATTTGGCTTACGGTAGAGCACAAGAGGGCTATTTATCTAAGGCAAGGATTCCTTCGCGGAGGAAGTTTTTAGAGTAACTCTCTCAAATTCATGTTACAGATCGGAAAACTGCAGAAATTCTAACGCAGCCAGCCCTTTCACTGGGATTTGAACCCAGATTAAACTACCAGTGTTCACGGATCTTACCGTTCGGGCACTTATTTTCAAGTTACATTACTTCAAAGTTCTTTTTCGAATTAAGGATGTTAACAGCATTATTTCGAGACAGCGATAATCAAAGATTTGTTGCTAGGCGCGCTTCTCCAGAGCTTTGTTATTTATCTCTGGTTTTAGGCAACACCAGCATAATATCCAAAACTGCATTATAATACATCATTGTCTCTCACTGTTGTTATCCTTCGCATGTTTTCCTCCTTCTATAATTTCCCTAGAAATTTTGCTTCATTCTAATGGTTTGCAATAATAATTTTTCTATCGTTCCGCAATAAATAAATATGTTCCTTTAAACAAGGTCCGCTTAACCGCGACCGGTTAATCCGATCCCGGTTAATGGAGAGCTGACTGTATATCGAGCGACATTATAAAGCAAAAATACCGTCTTTCTCATCAAAATAAAATATATAGCACTCTGAATCTTGTTTTCCATCGTAATGATAAAAGCAGATTGCCTCATCATGAAGTATCTGCGAGTTGTTCCGTCTGGCTTAAGAGCGAAAGGCAAAAGAAAAAAATAGATAGCGAGCGTTGTTTTGCATAGACTGTTAAACCATTTTCTTAGAAAAAAGAAAGAGAAAGGCATAAGTAGTCTTTTGACAAAAGTGACACTTTCAAACGTGTCAGAAATGGTCGTATATTTCAACATTTGCAGGAAATTGTGCCAACCAACTACTTAACATCAAGCTCACGTGTTATGTCAAAATTCCACCAGTTCTAGGATATGGAAAGGATAAATAATTAAATCACAAGCTGTCGCCTAAGGACAGGAAACTAATTCGAGTTTGTTAAGTGAAGGATTGTTGAATAAAGAAAAGTAACAGAGAAAATTATCACCGTTTCAAATGGCTCGTGTTATTTCCTTCAAATGGCTAATAGTCGTGTCATGAAAAAGCAAAACTATGTTGCGAATAATAACAAAAAAATAATAAATTATTAATAATAAATAAAATAAATTATAGTAAATTTACTACATCTCAGCATATTACATATCAATCAATATTGTGAAACGGATAAGAAATGTAAATGTTTGCAGAAATTAGTAACAGAAAATCTTAATTAAGAAACATCAGTGCCGACTGTGTGAAAAATGTAATTACAGTGATTGAAAATGAAAGAATTGACAAACTTATCTTTATTTTTCATCATATTGTAAATTAACTATGAAACTTACAGACGTTTGAAAAATCGCAAAGTAATCCTTCTCAGAGTAATAATCTCAACAACAATAACCGACGTAAAGGAATTTAATACATTTAGAATATACACACAAGCCGTCCTCGTTTTCCACGGAAAGCACGCATTACATACACTGTAAACTTCTTTTGTTTCTCTTTTTTCAAACACTAATTAACTTGCATAAATTATGCATTTTATGTATAAATTGAAAATAAATTTCAATTGGCAGTTAAAAAGAATTATTAGTCCAAAGGGGCTTTGTTAATGAAAGACTACTGTTTTCGTTTTGCGATTTTGTGTTGAAAACTTTAAAAGGCTGTATACATTTTTCAAATCGTTGCCACCAAATACTAACGCCTTGTATTATATTTGAAGAAATTAAATAATGAAGAATCTGCATAAATGTATGTATGTTTCTCGCAGTGTAATAAAACAAAGGTACCTAGAGCCATCCAGTTTTGAGTGACGTAACCCTACTGCGAATATGGGCATTTGAAAGCCCAAATTTGAAATTTGGAATTTGTTTTATTATCGATTTCACATTTTGTAAAACTCTAGCGAATTTTTGATTAACAAACTCAAGGATTTAAAGCGAGCGATGGCAACGTTGTACCTAAAAAAACATCTTTATCAACATTTTTCATTATTATTTAAACAATTAGTACAAATAGTAAATAAGAGGTTTTTTTTTATTATTATTTTATTGTATGTTTAACTAAAAGCGAAAAACGTTTAAAGACAGATAGATTAAGATCGCGGCTTTATTAATCCATCATTAATCTTCAAATTCATAACCAGTCTTCTGCAATGAAATGCGATAATCTGAAGTGAAAGAACATTACTTGCAATTAACTGAAAACAAAATCCGTGGTGTAAGTGAAAATATTTTGGATTATGGGACATATTGTTATACTGCGTTCCAACGCAAAATGCTGTTCGATATGCAGTCAGTCATAATGGCACATCCTTACACATGTCAGCAAGAAAGCACCTTTGAATAAAAAAGAAATCTGATGTGTACACCACATGACTTCCTTGTGCGGAATATTAAATTATATTAAATTATATGCATTCTATCACGAATTTCATTTAAATTTATTGGATTGAATTAAATCTACTTTGTCGATAGCGCATAAACCATAACGGAATGTATGCGCTCTTTAAAATTCAAAATATTTGTTTACCTAGCGATGCTTTGACGCTAGGTTCACTTAACAGCGTTACATGTTGTACATATAATAACTCAGAATGCACAAAAACTTATCTCATTTGAAGAATTATCCAGTTGTTGCCACATGTTCTATTCAAATACTATAATCAATCTAAAATGATGTATAAAAGAAATTAAGCATAGAAAAGAGAAAAAGAAACAGTTTTTCACAGACGATTCAGTATTTTTCATTCAATTGATTCAATTCTCACTTCGAGACAAGGCAAAAATACATAAAAACTCAAAATATCTATGTTAAAAATTAAAGTAAATCTTAAACACTTATTTCCTCGAATAAATTCCAGAATGGATTAAGCATGATTTAATTCGCAATAATAAAAGAAGGCGTTTTGCGAAGCTTAGTTTCTCTAGATTGGCAACAAATCCGCTATTCTGCCAAGTTTTAAATGTAAACAAACATGCCCGCCATGGCAAAAATAATTAGGTTTAGTCGCACTTAAATAACTTTTAAATTGTTGATAACTCTACAAATATTGCATGCAGATTTACTAAAGGCATAAAAACCTTAACCGGAAGGTGAGAAAAACATAAATCAATCATTTTTAAAGCAAAAAATGCACAATTTACAAACATATAAGAGTAAAGAAACAGAGTTCAGTGAGCCGGGTAACAGAGTGGATATATATATATATATATATATTATATATTTTTGGTGCTGCTGATTGCAACCAAAATACGAGGTTCACATCTACATGTTATAGCAGTCCTATATACAAAATTTCAACGTTCTGAGGCTATTCGTTTTTGAGTTATGCGAGATACCTACGCACAGACCCACCAAAATTCTCTTCAGAATTCATTTTAAACCAGATTTTTTTTTTGGGGGGGGAAGAGTCTTTTATTCAGTCCTTACGTACAGATGTCACGCAAAAACATCGTTAAATTGAATTCGGATATTTTCGTTGAAATATGATGCCTGAAACTTCTCGCGATTACGATACTTCCTTTTTACTTCGTATAAGGAAGTAAAAAGGTATTTTAGATTCAATACTTTCTTTTTAATTTAAATTTAATTGCCAGACAGCGTAACAGATAAAAATAATGGGTATTTTTTTCCTCCATGTTTTGTTCATCTGATCATGCGCATTACCCTTTGCAAGAAGAATTTTGCGTGCCATGATTTAGCGTTCAGAGAAGTACGAGCAATATCAATAAAAGCATTTGGAAGTGCACACGCTTTTTGGATTTTCTTTACAATATTTCTTACAATTCTCCTTTACATAAGAATTTTAGTTGCATTAAAATCATGCGCATTGTTCTTAAATATCTTTCTGTTTATCCAGGTACCTCATGCAGGATACAGCAAGCCTGTCTATTATTTGGGTGGCCATGCTAGTCATGGAGTTGCTCACAAGCCTGCAGTCTACGCTTCTCATGGCTATGCATACAAACCAGCAGTTCATGCATATGCTCCACATGCCGTAGCGTATGCCCACAAAAGTTATCCCCATCATTAACTATCATCTCAATGGTAAGTATTTTACAAGTTCGCTTCTTCCCCCCAAGATGGTTCAATGTTAAAATACTCCTTCTGAAAGTAATAATCCGGGATTGAAATGAATTACAAAATCTAGATTGCCTTTTTTTTATTTTTAAGATATAACGTACACTGCGGAAAATTAATGTCTCGAGAGCCTGACTTAGGATATGTATTAGATTTATATATAGCATTGTTTTAATATAGGTATTTTGACACAAAATCGGACTTTTTCTGAAATAATTTGTTTTCATATTTTGATTATACGATTCAAATTATGCCTAGATATTCAATTTTTTAAAATTTAGTGCGAAATGTACGGAAAAATTCAAAAATTTATCGTGGCACAATTCTTCAGTTTGCGCGAAGAATAATTCACTTGGCGAACCTTTTAATATGTGGCAACCAATTTTCCTTTCCCTGCCATTATGCTAGAGCGGAAAAAAAAGGCACCTCATTCTTACCTTTTTACATTGTGCATGAGCGGAAAAAAAGCCACTGCGTTTCTTCTTCCAAATAATTTTAGCAAAGTGTCTAAATCCCATTTGATGCTTTATCGCTTTCAACAAATATATAAATTCACGTATATCTTCGGAAATTTTGAATTAAAAACTGTAATTTCTTGCAAGTATGCTTAGAAATACGTCTACTTTAAAATTTCGGTTAAAATTTTATAGATTATAATTCAAAAAAATTTTTGAACAATTTATAAAAATTATTTAAAAATACAAATTTTTAAAATAAATCATAAAAAATGAGTTAATTTTATTTTTAATGAAGCTAAATTTCGAAATGTGAAAGGAAGAATCAAATAAGTTTAATAAAAAAAGATATTAATAAGTATATACCAAATTCAATTAACATTGAAGAGCTAATTTTTTAAAAACTATTCGTGCGATTTTTCCAAAACTTGGTAGTTTGGCGTAATTTCAGTCATAGAATCAAAATATGGAAAAAAAAAATTGCTTTCTTAAAATGTCCGATTTTCTGTCGAAATAATTATATTAGAACAATGCTATATATAAATCTAATACACATCCTAAGTCGCGCTTTCGAGACATAAAAACGCAGGTTGAATTTCGTCAATCGGCCCGGTAGAACGGGAGATAGAGAACTGTCCCATCACCCTCCCGCGGTGTACGTCTTTACAACCGACATAGGCTAGAAATCTTAAGTTTGCCATCTCATTCTACGCATATATTGCTGTGATATGAAAAATAAAAAGCTTGAAATGGGGAAGAATTCATTCATTAATTCTTCTAAGTAGCTTTCTGCGACATGCAAATCTTCCATTTTCTTTTTGTTTTCTGCAGTCATGGGCGGATGGGGCTATCTGGAATACGGAAATTTCCTGAGGTGTCAGTGGCCGTAACACAACCCTTTCACCTGCTATGAATGGCTTCGAAACAGATGAAGCATTAATCATAATTGTGGAACTCATGCCAGAAAAAACAATAAACTTATTTAAAGAAATATATTTAATGGCATCCCTCTCCAAAGAAATATAAATTTATATAATAAAAAATATAAACGTAATCAATCGTCTTAATACCGTCATCGTTATCTCATCGCAAATTTATAACTGTTGTATCTCATTCTTTATCCCTTAGTATAAAAGGAAGAAATTTTCATGTCCTAGCACCCCCCTTGACGATTTCATAACGATGCTCTATCATAAAGACATATAGACACCTTTATGCAAATCAGTGTTTATTCTTCAAAATAAAACCCCTTCAGATCGGCGGCTCGGCATCTTGATGAAAGTTCGGCATCGTGTATTTTCGTGTCTTGGCGAACAATGGCCAATGTGGAAAAAGGTGCCAGAACTTTTTTTGCAAACTGACCGCGCCGAACAGGCTAGCCCCATCCACCCCTTTCTCTAGTCATGCACAACTGATAAACCAAACCCTTAGTATACAAACAGTGGCTTTAAGAGGCTATTGGTAATTTAAATTATATTTTTGATTTATATAATTTTTATCTTGCATATATGCATGCATAACCGAGCCCCAAGTTTTTGGTAGACAAGAAGTGAAAGGACAGACGTGCAGGGTATTGAATATCCAACGCAAACATCTTGCTTTGCTAATACATTAGACGTATGAGACAGAAAGGCATGATAAAGCATATCAAAGAGGATTAAAAGAAAATGCTTTTAATGCTTCGCAAGTTCTTATAGATTCTAATAGTTTTTAATAGTTTGCACGAAAATAAGCAAGGTCTTATCTAAATTCTGGCTCTAAAAGGCTTATTTTTTGGGTATCTCTTATTTTGCCATGCAAAATAATTCATATTTAATCATTTGAAGGAATCAACATTTATTCATATATTCAATAATCCCCATTTAATTTATACAATTACATTTATTCCATAAAAATATACATGTATTCAAGTAATCTTCTTCTGAAACACTGTCATATAGATCCAAAGTCCGAATTACACCCTGAATTTTTTGGAACTCCAATTCTTTTAGAACCATTGGCCTTTAACAGTACCTTAAATGAATATTTTTAATCTACGTAACCAGCCCGTAGTGAAATGTAAGCAAAGCTTTTAATAATTTGACCCGTGAAGTCTTCACTCAAGTCATGGCCTTTTGCAGGTTAGGTTTTTCAATATTTTCCGATGATTTCTCTCTCTTCTGTTTCAGCGTGATTATTGATTTCCTTGAGTGGTTTCTTTACTACAATATCAAGTTTCCGGAGACAGCAATCATCCTGATGGTTTCATTTCTTGAACTATTTTTTTTTAATAGGAAATTTGTTATGTCTTTAGAATGGTAAAATAAAAAATTACATTTTTCATTTCGAACATTTAGGAATAATTCTATTCATGCAAAATGAAAAATTATATTTTCATTTTGCATAAATAGAACAACTTCTTACAATCAGAATATCTGACCAGAGCAGTAGAGATTTTAGATCAGGAAACATAAAATACCAACTGGACTCTCGCAGAGATTCGAATCGCGGATCTTCTACTTGCTAGTTGGATATGCTAACCACTCACGCCAAATATCCAATAAAATAACTTCTTATATTCCTCCAAACTTTTAAGGCTGCTGAGGAAGGGAACAAGACCCACTCGACTAAATTTAGATGAAAACGAATTATCGTCCATCACATTTTAGTCGGATGCCATTCTATAGAACATATGCTATTTGAGTACAGGAAACATGAAAAATTAGCCGCGCCTTCCCCAGTCTTCCAATCGCAGATCTTTCACTTGCTAGTTGGAAATTCTAACCACTTACACCACGAGGAAATGCACGGGGAATGCAATGACGTTTTACTACTATGGTCTTTTGCACTAATCGGCAAAGTTTTTTTAATATTTTTCCCCAACTCATATTATAATTTTTATAATTTTCCCATAAAACTGAGCTCAACCCCCTCCACCCCCCCAAAAAAACACCTGCTACAATACATCAGTTGAATCAAATGGTTTTAAAGTACGTTTTATTCTTATACAAATATAGGAATTTTATTGCATTGATTACCGATACCTTTTTTCTCATTTTTCAGGAAACTGAGGCTTCTCCTGCTATTACGAATCCGAGACCAAACGTAACTATCTTCAGGGAAAACTTGATACATCATTGATCCTTGTTATTTTTAAAATGTGCAATTATCTTTTGAAAAATAAAGCACATTTGCAGGAAAAAAATTCTTTTTGCTTATCTCATTTCATATTTGACATAAAATGTTCTGAATAAAATTATACCTAAGTAAGTATTTCATTAAGACTAAACTTTAGCAAAGGTTAAAATAAAATAAAATCATTTTCTGCCTGAAGTTACAAATGGACCAACTGGTTATTTTATTCATCACATACATTTTTAGCTTAAAGTTAATTATAAATAAAGTTAATAACTGAAGTAAATTATAAATTATTTAACATCTGAAAAAAAAGTAATAATACAATTTACCTGAAATAAAAGGTCCGGTGACATTTTGGGCAACTTTTGAAAATATTCTGACAATTAAATGCACAAATAACTAATTATTATACTACTAAGGTAATTATTATACACATTAAACAAATAAATCATAAAAAATTGCATGTCTTTAGATTTAGTAAAAAAACGAAAAGAAAAAAACATTAACATTAAAATAAAATTAAAAAAAAACTCTCAGATTTAATAAACCAGATTTAAATGCTACGTCAGAAATTTCTAGGAAAAGTATGAATATAGTTCGATAAATTATTGATTTATAAGAAGCATTAAATATTGCTTCCTCATTATATGGTCTCTGAGTTTATTTTGGCAATTTTATTATCTTATTTGTTCAAATAAAAATATATACATATATATATATATATATCTGGCATAGTAACATTTACAAGTGGTGGAATTATTTTACCAGAAAAATATTCACAAAAATTTGATTATTTTTTATTTTTAAGCCTGGCTTTCCTCACCCATTTAAATGTTTAAATGCTGCTAAAGGATACATGTGTCCCCCCCTCCAATCTGAAATGATTTAAATGAAGATCACTTGTACATTTTATAGCCATGAATCAAATATTTTAAAAAAAAATCTTTATTCAGCTGCACTTTTGCAACTGCTCCTTTCTGCCAATTTTATTTTTGCAGCAATTATGCTCATAAAACCAAAATTTAGGAACACACTGCCTCTGAATTTTAATGGATTCAGATGGTTTTCGTAATAATGCAGTAAAATCTTTCTTCTTTACTTTGATTTCTCTAAAATAATATGCCAAAAAATAATTTCAATCGATGATATAGGATCACAGGATATTCTCCACTGCAGTTAAAAACACAACAACAAATACAACACATTTTTATATTCAGGAAATGTCACCCTATTTTTTTAACATAATAAAATATAGGTAACTTTAGTATGAAGGAAAACAGAACAAACCGTAAGTGCGAATAATAAATATTTGGAAGAATATTACAATTTTGATCAGTTTATATTGTTTTATGGTTTACCAAAAGATGGCGCCACTGTTCTTTTCAGATTAAATTCTGCTCGCTAGGTAAAATTTTTCAAATATATTTTCGCCTACGTTTGATTGCACGTTTTACTGAAATAGATAATAGCCCGTTTTATTTTCAATATAAAACAGTCATTATTTTCTCTCCACACAGAAAGAGCGAATTCTCCTAATTGCTCTTATATAAACTGCTTGTGCGAAATGTGTTATTAAATAAAGAATATAAAATAACGCAGCAGAACTTCGAGAAATCGAAATATTCGATAACACGAAATATATGGCATACGATATGCATTAATGGCAACTTTTCCCACTTACTTAGATTTTCGAACTTCGAAATTTTTCTACTGCCTTCAATTTCGGCGCATCGAAGTGGGGCTTCGATAATAATAAATTTTTTTTGCTAATGAGCGTGCACATATATTTATACATTTGCATTTTGGATATAATGTAATTCATATATGCTTGAATGTCAAATAATAAGTTTAAATGTATTTATTGCAAAATATGTATTTATAAGAAAAATATTATTCTTCATTTGGCAAGCAATGTCTTATCAAAGAATCGCAATGAATATATCAATATACTGTTTTTATCGCTGTCCCCTGAGATAACAGAGAATTCTTCAAATAGTACGAAATAAAATCTAGCAGTCATGTGATGTCCTCTCGCATAGAAAGTCGGCAAATAGAATAGCAGAAAAATTATTTGAATAACTTTTTACGTGTTACACAATTAAAAAAGACTGCTATAACTATTTCATGAAATTATCCACTTACTCTTAAGAGTTGATTCAATCATTGATAACCCTAGGCTGTTTCGTGGTTATGTGGTTGGTGCAGAACACTAAAAAAAAATATGATGTGTGCACCACATGATTTCCTTGTTCGGAATATTAAATTATACGCATTTTTTCTTGCATTTCATTTAAGCTTATTGGATTCAGTTAAATCTACTTTGTCGATAGAACATAAACCACAATAGAATAAATGCACTCCTTAAAATTCATTATTTTTGTTTACCATAGCGACACTCTGAACTCAGAATGCACAAAATTTATATCATCTTAAGAATTATCTAATCGTTGCCACATGTGCTATTCAAATAATATAGTAAATCTAAAACAATGTATAAAAGAAATTAAGCAAAGAACAACAAAAAGAAACAGTTATTCACAGGCTATTGAGTATTTCTCATTTAATCAATTCAGTTCTCACTTCGCGACAAGGCAAAAATACATTAAAACTCAATATGTCTGTAATGAAAATTATGAAGTAAATCTTAAACACTCATTTCCTAGAATAAATTCCACAATGAAATGAGCATGATTTAATTCACAATAATAAAAGAAGGCGTTATCTTTGTTATTGCGAAGCTTACTTTCTCTAGAGTGGCAACAGCAAATCTCCTATTCTGGCTGTTTCAAATGTAAACAAACATGGCCGCCATGGCAAAAATAATTACGATTAGCGGCACTTAAACAACTTTTAAATGGTTGATAATTCTAAAAATATTGCATGCAGATTTAACTAAAGGTATAAAACTTTAACCGGAGATAAAAACAACATAATTCAATCATTTTTAAAGCAAAAAATGCACAATATACAAACATATAAGAATAAAGAAACCGAGATTACTGAGCCGAGTAACATAGTGGATGTACATATATGTATATACTTTTGGTGCGGCCGATAACAACCAAAATACGAGGTGCGCATCTACATGTTATTCCATTATGATTTATAGCAAATTGTTTAACAGACTTTCAAAGAAAAAAAAAAGTGGTTCTTATTAATTAATACCTTTATTTTAGTTTATTTAACAATACATTTAATTGATATAATTTATAATACGTTTAACTTATGCAAATGATAACTTTTATGAATTTTCGCATCATTTTTATAAAGATACTAGTTACTAGTCTTATGCCTGATGACATGTTCAAATCTAAATAACTATAAAAGCTGCGATAGAATATTGTAACTCTCTTTCATAAAAATGTCAAGAAATAACTATCCACTCCCACTACTTCCCGAAATGAAATACATGATAAAAACATCCCTTGCGAGAGAAGTCCTTTCGGAAAGGATGCATAAGAAACTCTAGATGAGAAGGTTTATACTTCCATATTTTTTTAATTACTTTCAAAACAGAAGCTGTTAAAAAAAAAAAAAAAAAAAAAAAAACTTCATAACACTGCTTAAGCATAAAAAGGCCTAATTTTTACTAGGCCGAAATTTACGAAATCGATTTTTTTTTATGATTTTATTCTAGGATTTTCTTTAATATCTTTTTCGTTCGCACTTTTTTCAAAACTTCAAAAGTTTCCAGATTTGAAGCTTTAAATAAAAAACGAAACGTCTCCTAGAACCCGCAGAATGCATAATTAATGCAAATTACTTACCGTAGCCGGTCTTACTATTCCACGTCAAGGCAGTTTGCAAGACAAATTCGAATGAGCCAAACTTTACTGCAGTTGAAACAAGCAACAAAACAAAACAAAACAAATTCATTTCACCGAGAGAAAAAGTATTTGGAAGAACGCCTACCTATTTCCCCAAACAAAACATTTCACAGAACCTGCAGCAAAATATCCAGCTCAATCGTTTGGTTCTTCATTTCTTTTTTTATCTTCCTTTTCCATTGCTGATTGATGTGGGTACGCAGGATATCCGGGTGTTTCACATAAACAGGAAAAAAAGGAGTTGAGAGTTTATTTACAAATTATAAAAATATTCAAACTAGGACTAGAAAGTGCAATTTCTTTCAGAGTCGGCTTCATCAGTGTTGTTGAGTGAAGAATAGGCGGGTTTATCATCATCGCTCTAAAATATATCGATTCCTAACATGGCTAAACGGTATTTGAGAAAGCAGCTAAATTCTCGCCATTTGCGAATTTTCAAGTACCAATTAATTTTTTTAAATCTATTAAGACTAAATCTTGCAAACTGGGTTGTAGGTTTAGATTTATTTTTTAAGTACAAAAATTATAGATTAGGTATAATACACGTTTTAATAAATACAGTGTCTCGAAAAAGCATTCGTACACTTACGAGTTTCAGTGAAATATTGCTTTATTCATTAATACAAATTAATGTTTGAGAATTAGAATTTTTTAATAATATCTATAATTTCTCTTAGCAAAATTAAATTAATTATTTTATGAACATAGTAAAACATTTTTTAGGAAAATCAATAATCAAAAAGTGACCGAAAGTTACCTCACAAAAGTCTTCGTACACATTCGTACATGTTTCCAGAACCTGTGGATAATTAAAGACATATCAAAAGCGAACGTTGTTCCAACCAAGGTCTTGGTATTAAAGTTCCTCATTTTTTCTTCTCCTAAAAGTATACGCCCATCGGAACCAAAAGTTTTAAATTTGCTTTCATCTGCAATGCTCCCAGTACGCTTCGGATTTATTTACCATTCATTTTGTGAAGGAAAGCCTAGGCTTTTTATTTTTTGCACTTAGAAAAATTTTCTTCGTGCAGAGCACCCATGCAATCTAGCTGGTCTGAGTACTCTTCGAACACTTTCGGGTGAAACTGAAGTAGAAAATTTTTTCAAAGAATTCTGTAGAAATCTTTGCAACACTCAAAGATAAAGTTTTCACAAATTTTCCAGCTATAAATCTCTGATCGCGTTGAGTTAACTTTGGCGAAGGACCACTTCGTACTATATCTTCGATACGATTTTCTTC